TTTACTCTTCATCTACATTTGGTCAACTTTCAGCTTTTTATTCAAACTTCAACTTTACTCTGGTTACAATTGATCACTTGACAATTATAATGCAAAATAGCCAGACAATCGATCAGTTAACATCTTAACCTTAAGAATCCAATTCTTCCTTTATTCCTTCACCAGGAATCAAATCAAATTTAAACAACTCTAGAAATGAAAAGATCCTCAGTTATTCAAAGCTTTCTTCAGGATCTTCATTTCATATTTTACCTTTTTCATGAGCGACTCAACTCTTAAACTTTATTTATGATTCTACTTTTAAATGGTTCAAACATGTTCAACGAATTCATCTCAACTTATAAATATTAAAGGAATTTTAACGATAATTTAGTCTAACATTGAGTTTAAGCATTCACTTTGAAGAACGACCAGAATGCTTGAGATTGTGAATATTGGTTAACATGCGATTTGGTCTTTTATTGAACATTTTAAAGGATTCTTAAGTAAACTGGAATTTGTTTTGAGCTTTCCTCAGAAATGTTTATCAATGTGTTTCATTTAGTTGCAAGTGTGATGCGAAATGGAACCAATGATGTAAAGTAATTTAAGTCAAGCAAGTTGGTTGAGTTTGAAGTCAAACATTTGATCAACGATGAATAGCATTCAACTGATTGAATATTTTCATGTTCACTTTCCACATTTTTGGTTTATTGATGGAAAGGAAAAAATGATTCTTTCATGAAAACAGGGTTACTCTCAATTAAGGTTTTACCTGGAAGCCTTTCTTTTATATTTGTGCATAAAGTTTGTGATCATGTAGATGGATAATGGTCAAGTTAAAAGCTGATGGTCAATGTATGGCCTTAGGATGTGAATGGTTGATCAAAATTGTACATCTCGTTTGTTTCATCTGTAAGTTCAATTGAGAACTCCAGTTGTCCAAATACTTTTTCAATATTAAACTATTATTAGAGCATCGAGTGGGATTCCATCATATTAATCAGAGTAAATGTACAAACCAACGCAAGTTAACTTTGCAAATGTAAATTTAGATCATTAAATTTAAGCAGAACAAGAATGTTTCTTTCAAAATCCAATCTGTTTCCACTGTCAACCGACTTGAACTTTAACCTCTTTAGAAAGCAAATTAAAGTCAAAAAATATAAGAATTTACAGATTCTTTTAAACTCTAATTTAAGTAATTATAGAAACAAGAAAAAGAAAGTTCAGCCAATTAAGGAAACCAGAGATTTGTTGATTAACTGACTGACAATTCAAGAAACAGTTTTCTTCAAAATTGAACTTCAGTTTATTCAATAATCTTGTATCTTTTCAAGCATTCAAAGTGTTTGAAAACTTGTCATTTCGTATTCATTTCAAATGAATGGAAAACTGATTTTAAAGTTTAATGATTTGTGATGTTCATCCATTGAGATAACTTGATGTTACTTACCTTCCAAGTCAATATCATAGACTGCATGGGCTGCTGTTGAGTCGATTGATGCTCGAGCTGAAGGTGACCGTGAATAGGCAAGAAGCTCACCGTATGAGGATCGAGTTGGTGAAGGGGCAACAGTCCCAGTCAGACAAGCGCCATTGATACGAGAAGCATCGAATGAGTAGACATCGAATGAGGACGGGTTGATGCCACCGAATGGATGACCGCCCACAAGGCCACCAATAACTCCACTTGTAGACAAGGGTAGGCCTCCACTGACTGGGCCCAGGTTACGAGTCGAGTCTTCATCTTTTACGGCGGTTGTCGGTGGAGTCAGGAAACGTTGTTTGGTTAAACTATGTAAAGCACCGGAAATTGAAGATATTCTTGGTCGGAAGTAACCAATGTGAGGTCGATTATCATTATTATCTGTATCCGTTCCAAAGGCTTTCCACATGATAATCAGGAGAAGGCGGAAGAGAGCAAATTGATGACTTTAAAAAGAAGCAAAAACAAATTGTTTTTTGTTTCGTTCCGTTTGATAAAAAATAAAATTATCCACAAAATTATTTTTCACTGTAAATGAATTTCTCATTGATCATGATTGAAATGATTCAGTTGGTAATGATAACAAAAAGTAAACACAGAAAATCATTTCGAGAAAATGTAATGAGAAAAAAAAGACAATTTTCTTATTCCTTGATTAACCTTGTTCTTTGAGCCATTTCTTTGTATCAACTGAACAACTGATGAAGAATCGTTGAAATGCTGGGAAAAACAAAGTTGTACAATTAACGAGTTTAAACTGTTTTCATTGTTGTTCCAATGTTTGCCGGTAAATGTTGCTGCTGGTGATAATATTTTATCAATGAGCTTTCATGAAACTGAGGCTTTTTACGCCTTAAAGGTTGAACAGCTTTATTTACTTTGTAAAACCATTTCAATAGTAAAATCATTTTTGATCTGAAAAGATGCGATGAAAATACACACACAAAACGTTATTCAATATAAATATGTTTATCGATATTGTTGTTATCTTTACCGATGATGTTCACTTGGAACGGATGTTCAATATTGTTGTTCCCATTTCAGAATACATGCTTGCAACACTCAGAGGAGAAAATAGAGAAACAAGAATCAGGATGATGATGATGATGAGAAAAATGTGAGTTACAAGATGAATTGGGAGGAAAGAATATGCTCCAAGAATATTGTTGTTGCCTGGGAGTGTGAGATTCATTCAAGTTTAACTCGGGATTGAGCATGATAGTGAGATTGGAAAATGTTTATCATCAAGAGAAGAGGAAAGGCTGATGTTGGATGATAGGGAAAGTGCAAGATAATATTGAGTAAAATTAAATTCTGGGAGTGAAATTGGCAGTTAAAGAGTCTTTTGATTGTTTAATGGTTGAGTAAAGGATGCGTAGTGAAGAGGAGCAAGAAATGATATTCAAGGGGAAATACATGGCTGATGATGGTAGAACAAGATTTATATGGATTCACGATTCATGAGAAATTCAGAAAGAAAAGTCTCTTCAAATAAACTTATCTTTTCCTCTTTTTTTGTCAAATTTTCAATCAACAAGAAAAAGAACAAAATTTTACGCCAACTTACACTTGTTCTTGTTCTTGTTCCATTTTCCTCTTCATGTACATTTTTCATGGTAAATCTTCTTATATCTTTCGTTCCCATTCATTAGTGGTTACAATCAAGTACAATTAGCTCAACACAATTCCATCTTCAACATTAGAAAACCCAATTTTTCAGATTTACACTTTGTCTCAAAGCATTTATTATGAGACCAAAATTTTACCGAAAAATGAATTGTTGGACCGAAGAAAAAAATGAAACTGAAATCGATTTATTAAACAGTTGATTTTGGTGAAATTATCATTCATCAGCATTGGTAAAGATTTAAGTTCAGGAAAATTTTGACTTGACCTTTTAGGCCTGAATGATTGAAATCATTTTTAGATCATTTTGTATCAACTTTCAATGATATCAGCTTTTCTTGTAAAATCAATTTTTGACTTAATCTGTTTTGAGCATCTTTAACTGATACATTTGAGGAAATAAATTTTTAATTGGATTTGATTGAATTTTATCCAACAAACTGGATTCCATTTGCAGCACCCTGTAGTTTTAAGTAAAATTTTACTCCAAGTTTCAGTTTAAACAAAATGTCTTTCGACTTACATCTTATATTTGCTCATTATATACTTTGTAATTAAAAACGTCACTAGCCTTGTTTGACAATTAACTTGGGAATTGACACCATTTATTCACTGTTTACCTTTCATTGAACATTTAAATCCCTTTCAACGACAAGGTGATCATTAAAAAAAGTAAGCAACATTAAGGTGAACAGTGACTCTAAGACTGGGTTGAAATGCCATTGCTTATAAATTGTAATAACTTGTATCGTAAGATCAACTAATTATCATTAAGTTGTCCTAATCAATTGAATCTCGACTCACACCCAAACTCTCATCATTTAAATTCTCATGTTAGTCTTTCATCCTTACTGATTGATGAACAATCTGAAAATTTAATAATCCAATGTTCCCTTCAAATCTTGTAATATCCTTTGAAACCAGATTGTAATAATTTATCACCATTGAGACCAAAAATAAGACCAATTGTTGGGTGTTGTCTGTATGATGAACCAGTCTTTTTTTGTTGCCTCTTATTGGTTTTATTTGGGTTTATTTGAGTTTCTATGAAATGCTTTTGATTAACTGTTCAATTGATTTTGGTAACAATATTATCATCATCTTTTCACCATTCACTTTGATCATTGAAATATTTGCCTTTTCAAGTCAATGTCAATCAATTGAAAGACTGGTTAAATTATTAAGATATTGCATTTGCTACTTTATTTAGGTTCAACTAAGAGTTTACCAGATTTGGTTAAATCATTGGAAATACTTTGATTCCAGATTTTAATTAAGATTTACTCAATTGACTCAACATTGATTTTTTCCTCTCAATTCTCTAATCTGCTTCTTCTCTCAGTTTTCATCATTATTTCCTATTTTTTCCTTCCATCTCATCTTTTAATATTCTTACTTTGTTGTTTTTTGCTTTAGACTGAAAAAAAGGTTAAATTTCCTTGATTTAATCTATTTGATTAACTTTGAGCTGAGTTTAGTAATAGGATCAAAGGAAATAAACAAACCCAAAAAGTGGATCAAATGTTGCCTTTTGTTTTGTTGTATTATTATCAAGAAGCCTTTCTGATCAAAGGAAACAAAAAACTATTTATTTATTATTTTTCAGGTGATTTTGAAAGAGGTAAACAATTGATTAACTGGGAATTAACAGTCCATTTATTTCTTGTATCAAGAAATTCAATTTAATGGTTAAGATAAATCTTTTTCTTCTCTCACTAATAAAGGTAAAATGATTAACCAGATTAATATAAATACAAATAGTTGTACTTTTCCAATTGTTTCCAACCGAATCGATATATTAACTTCATCATAGCACGTAGGTTGATCAATGAGTTTTGTGGTCAATTTTCTGGTTGCTCATCCTCATGTGTAAATCAAGAAAAACGTTGAATATTATCAACGAGCAATAAATGTAAAAACTAACTACATGTGTATTGGTTGATCAAAATTGCTATTAGGAAAATCATTGAATGTCGTTCGCGCGAAAATTGAAGGTTTTTATTAAAAGATTCAGATTATTAGACACTCGATGAACTCTTAAATTAAATTTTAATATTAATGCATTTGTGATACAATTGATGGTCAATAAAGGTAAAACAAATCATGATTTTGATGAGAATCAAGAAAATCTTTGAAGGTTTATCTTCTTCTACAAAAGTGGAGTCTTGGAACAGTTTATTAAGGTTAATTTAGCTCTCAATGGCCAATAGAAGCATATTGCAATGTGCTTTATCTAGAGTTTACAGAATCTTCAGGGTGTATTTATCTGAGATGAGTTTTCATAGCTGCTTAAGGTTCATCTGTGGTGGCTGATGATAATCTTTTCACATAATACTTCAATTGGTCTTAAAAATCCTCAATTGGATTGAAAGGGTGAAAATCAGTTGATGATTAGAGAAGCTTAATGGTTTTTGTGGTCAACATTATTCATCACCAAGTGTCGTTTTTTTTACTGGTGAGCTTTCTTTTCGGTACACATTAAGGTTATTTTTTAAAATTTACTTGTTAAAATTGGACACATCATACTTTCCTCCTTCATTGTTGATGTAATTTTTGGTTATGAGTGGAATAACAAGATTTATGATTCGCAATTTAGGATAGTATGGTTAGATTGAATTTGATAGTTCAAGATCGCAAAGAAAAGATGAACAATCGTTGCGCTGTTGAGTTTTTGTTGAAGCTCACAGCATGATATTCCTGCACTGGTCCTTCTAGAATTTTCTGCCTCTCTCTCATTCTTTCTTTCATTCAGACTTTACCTCTTCAGTTTATTTATCAAAAATTTATATACAATTTATTTGCTATGATTTTTGAAACAAAATGAGATTTTAAATTTTTTAATTCTTGATACTAGCAATATAAGATAATTTGCTTTTGAATTTGCCTCTCAATTTAACCAGTAAGTAACCGGTTAGAGTAACCAGGGTTGCTTGCTTTATCATCTCCTTCAACTATTTAACCGGTTTCCATTAACCAGTGTATCTTTATTTTAAGAGATTGTTTATTTAATAGATTTTAACAATGGGCCTAACTATCAGCTCTATTTTTCAAAGCCTATTCGGGTCTAAGCAAGTCCGAATTTTGATGGTTGGTTTGGATGCTGCTGGTAAAACAACCATTTTATACAAGCTCAAACTTGGTGAAATAGTAACTACAATTCCTACGATAGGTATGTACCTTGTGATTTAGCAATGTGTCATTATAAAGATTTATATCATTTACACATAATTAATTGATATTTCTATTTCTAGGTTTTAATGTGGAGACGGTGGAATATAAAAACATCAGCTTTACTGTTTGGGATGTAGGAGGTCAAGACAAAATTAGACCTTTATGGAGGCATTATTTCCAAAACACACAAGGCCTTATATTTGTTGTTGACTCAAACGATAGAGAAAGAGTTGGAGAGGCTCGGGAAGAATTGAATCGCATGTTAACTGAAGATGAGCTCAGAGATGCTGTTCTCCTTATTTTCGCCAACAAACAGGTATGTGGCTGTTGAAATACATTATTACAGGTGTCATTATCCACCCTTTCTTATCTCTAATCAACTGTTTTCATTTGACTATAATTTCTGATTGCCAACTATTTTTTCTTTCTTGTTAACTCATTTACATATCTGTTAATTAATCTAAATCCTAGGACCTTCCTAATGCAATGAATGCCGCTGAGATTACCGATAAACTTGGTTTACATTCCCTCCGAAGTCGCAATTGGTACATTCAAGCAACTTGTGCGACAAGTGGTGATGGTCTTTATGAAGGTCTGGACTGGCTTTCAAATCAATTAAAGGGTCAAAAGTAAACACCTTGTCACCTTTAGTTTCTCAATCCTGATTAATTACAAACTTAAGAGCAATTATAATTAATAAATTTTTTTAACCATCGTATACACCAAGTTAAATACACCAATTATCTCTTGATGTGGCAAATTTTACAATCCATTTGAATCACAGTAAAACCTTGCTTGATACATAAAATCCTTCCATCTATCGTCAAACAATTGTAAACAGTTGGCAATCAGTAAGTAAAGTAGTGTGTCTATTAGTCAATAAAACTATGTCGTCTTGGGTTAGTGTTTTGCTAAGGATTAACCCAAATTTTATCTATTAAGTACCGTTTTACTGTAATGTTATTAACTTTCAGTGCAAAACTACAATCGTTTCTCTTATCAATCAACACATGAATATCCAGATTTAGAATGTTAGAAATATTAGTGTTTTATTGCTCTAAAAGACATAAATTTTTGCTTTCATGTACTTTTAATATAAACTTTGATTACAAAAACAAATTAACAATTATTTGAGATAAGAATAAATAACAATGAAAATCTTTACGGACAAAGTGCACAATTGTCTTGTAGGACAATTCATGACAATACCATAATCAAATCAAAAGATCAATCAGATTAGCTTGTAATCTCTTAATAAATTATCGACTAAGCTGATTTATAATAAATTTTCAATCAAACATGAGTAAAAGTTATTGAATTAAATTTTTGTGATCATTAACGCATTTACTCAAGTCAATTTTGTCTCAAATGTACCCATTGGTTTCTAGTTTGTCCGTAAAAATACACTGTTACTTATCCTGTTCCTGGTAATGATTTGAAATCATTATTTCCTTCTGTAGAGTAATGCTCCAGTATTGGGATCCTCTTGCCAATATCTCAAATCGATGGACGGAAGATCAGAACAGGCAACTCGAGGATTGCTATTTTAAGAATTGGAAAAAAATGAGAAATCAATTATTGATGAATATTGAATGAAAATGATAATAATCATTATTTAAACTTATTTGGACCAGCTTATTGTTAAATTGAGCCTAAAAGCCTTTCCTGCTCATTACCAAGAAAGTTTAATGCTATTAACAAATCGATACTAAACAACTTTTCTTTATCTATCTTACTTATGCATAAAGGTCCATCGCCATAATATTGTAATAATATGATTACTGTCTCAATGAACAGTATAAAGTATTTGAACTTGAAAGGTTTTTGACTAAAACACTTGACTAATCAATTGGTCCAAATAAGGAATGATTATTACACAATTTGTTAATCTGTTAACTTACAAAATAGGATGAGCTTGTCTCATAACCCATGTCTGGATTGTTGGAATATCATCGGCATTTTCACAAATAATCTTTGATTGTACTGATTTTTTAATCTCATACAATTGTTCAGGGGTGAATGAAGATGGAAGTCCTGATCTATCATACCAGAATCGATCACCTCGTCGAATGTTGGAAAATTGTTGAGCAATTATGCAAGCAAATGTTGGACCAATCATTGCACCAGGTAATCTTACTTCGGAAATTCCACCAGACCAAAGATCAATATCATCAGGATGTCTAAGAGTGAAATAAAAATAAGAAATTAGCAAAATATCTTGAAGAGAAAATTGCCAAAAATTTAAATGCACTTTAAATTATTCATAAGTGCATCCAATATAATTTGGCAACATTGATTTGTAATAACTGTTTACTTCTGATTTTGAATTTTCGCTTTTCAATTCAAAATCGTGATTTTCCAAATGAAAGATAAACAAATTGAGCAATTATGAACCCTTGAAATGTTACATGACATATTCATGAAAAATCATGAACATTCTAATCTCACGAAATACTGCAGCAAACTAAATTAGAGCTTAAATATGGATTGTGAAAATTGATTGTTAAATAAAATGTGAGCTCAAATTGAAAAAAACACCATTTGTGAAGCAAATGGAACAAAAGCGTAAACAAAAAACTGCAAAGTGAACAAGGTTCTTCATTTCAAAAGGTGTTCACTTGATTGATTAATTAGCTACACCTCAACACATTTGGAATTAATTTATCAGCAAACCAACGATTAACGCTTACTTGTAAATTTGAGAATACAAATAAGCAGTATTATTTTGTAAAACTGGAACCAAATCTTGCCAGCTTTGAGCTCGACCTAATCCACACCATTCTCTCCATGCATTATAACCGGGTAGACCATGTTCACGACCTCGTTCCAAATTAATTGCTGCTAAATCCAAGCCAAAAGGTTTATGTGGAGGTTGGAACAAGCGACCTGACACTTCTTGGGTAATAAATGGATCATAGGTTTGGGCAGGAGTGTTAATGAGCCCACCAATAAGCTCATCCATTTTACCAGGTTCATAGACGATGAATGGTTGACGAAGAAGGTTATGTAAAGGATCTTCTCCCAAGAATTGGTGAAATTTATCATAACGACGAACCATTCCTTGAATAAATGTGTGTCCAAAACGGAAAGCAGCCGTTTGGAAAGCATGAGAAGGTCCAATGTGAACATTGGCATCATAATCATCACGATAACCCTCTGCTTGGACAGTTATATTGTACTTTTCAACCATTTCGGTTCCCAATAAGAGGGGCAAAAATTCATTCAATGTGATGTGCTGAACTGAAGCAGCCATAATATGGCGAGCTTCTTGGAAAAGCTTTTCATCATCCCAATGAGGGTTCAATTCAGCCAAGGCAGTGGCAATTCGGTTATGGTCACGAACATATAAAGTGTGCAAAACAGTCAAATGAATTTGTTCATTAACTCGCTCATCTCCAGCAATAAAGCAAAATAAGTGGCGAGGTCTGGCAGTACAATCACGCTCAGGATTATCACTTTCAGGTGGAAGTAAAGGCTTCAGTCCATAAGCATTGAATCGATCCCAAACCTTCATTAAACCTAATTGAAAATCAAGAGAAAAATGTGTTAAAAGTAAATCATAATTCACAATCTTTATAAATGCTTTCAGCGGGTTCCATCACAATGTTACTTTTCAATTTCAATCATCAGTTATGCCAAATTACATTCATTTAAATGATTATTAGTATTACGTCTTTATTAAGTTGTGGATTAAATTAATGCTATTCAAGAATATCAATAATCAATCAACAAGTAGTCATGAACTTGTAATAATTTCCAACTATTGACATTGAACAGTTAGAGAAAAGCATTCCAAAACATTAATATCAATCAGCAACAATCAAAATATTGTTGATAATTAAAAACAAGGATAAACGAGTTTAAAGGACATTCAAAATGTATTGTAAAAAATTGATAGACAACACCCATTGAGCTGAATAATTTGCTAATATGAGAAAGCTGAATATTCACACATCCATGATCGAGTTTAAATCCAGTTAATCAATCCAGCTAATAATTTAATTTCCGGGCTTGCCATGAAAATTTAGTTTCTAATAGTCAGGGAAATGAGGAAATCCTTGAAATTAATGAAATTTGATTAGCAAGAATAAGAAAAACTTAATCTAGGGCGAAATTAAAAACAAACACAAATTGATTGCAAATACAGATTTCAATTGAACTTTACAATCAATAAATTATTTTAATTTCAAATTTTGTTTCTTCTTTTTTTAAACCATTAAGAGTTGCCTGATTGTGCATAAACATGATAATTAAATGGGTGGTCAGTATTGGGTCAATCAATTGATTTAGCGATTTGAGTTAATCATTTGGCTCTCAATGATATTTGAAGGTAAAGATTTACTTTTACTTTTATCAGAATAAAATCAAGCGATTCAGTTAACTTTCATTTTCCATTTACAGAATGGTAACAGAAAAAAGAAGAAAATAATCAAATTAACCAGAATGATATTAATTAATGCATTGATTGTAAACCTTTCTTACACCTTCATCTCCTCCCTTGACCAACACCCGTTAATCAAGACAAAATTTTCACCATTTAACTCACCAATTAAAGTCTATTAAATCAATTTTTATTCTTCTTTTTGCCCTTAAAGTATCAAGTTCAGTAAATCAAATTTAATTATTATTACATATTAGTAAAGTTTATAAAAAAGAGTTTAATAATTTTAAGGGAAAATCCCTTTTATAATTTGTAATCAACAGTTAACTAAATCCTTTATTTAGTCAATCAGTTAATCTTATTAACAAATTGTTGAAATGTATGGATTAAAAGATTTCTGCATTTCTTTTGTTTTCAACATTCACTATAAATGGCAACACTTATTGAAAATCAGTTAATCTTAACATCAATTTAAACTCTATTAGTTGACAATTTGCTGATTTACTTGAAATACTCATTACACCTTGAAAAAGCTGATTGATGTTGGTGTGAATCAAGTTAGTTGATTGTGCCAAATGAACTTTATTGGTTATTGAAATGATCAATATTGAGATTAACTGTTTACCTTAGACATCGTTCAAGGTTTAAGCAGTACGATAATGACCATTAAATCATCCGAATAATAAAACATTATAAATGATCAGTTTAACCACAATTAACTCTCAGGCCTTAAAAGATAGCAACAATAAAAATATTGTTTATGGAAATTGAATGTGTGTTCTGGAAAGGTTACCCTTTGGCAGTAAACAAATTGTTATACACATTTGATTTACCATTAATCTGTACTTGATTAAATGTTATTTAATTGCAGGTATACCTTGAAACACAATTAGTCAATAGTAAAACTAATTCAATCATAAAACATTATGTTAAATCTGTACGATTGGTAACAAATGTAATTTGCCTTAGGATTTAAAAGTGAAAATAATGTGAAAAACAAGTTTACTGAAATTGAATCAAAAGTATCTACTATTCAAGTGTAGCAGTAATGATCGGAATAATGTTTACAAGTAAACAGATAATGGCCATATTTAACATTAACTGAAACAATCAACAAAATTTATTGTAATTAATTCTAACTGATGATGTTAATAACATAACAATTTAACAGAAAGATTAATTGCTTTAAATCATTGCTGAACCATTTTAGCAAAGCAAGTGAAAAATCTTTTATAATCGTCTTATAAATATTTTTTCCTTAAAATGACAATCAGCTTAATTGCTTGCAATACCAACTATTTGATGAAACATGGTGAATATCTGACAGTCTAAAACACTGGAAACTGTTGCTTGATTCACTAATGAAACATTAAATTGGAAGCTGTTTAATCACAACCATTGTTTTCTTGTAAATGATAATGAAAATCAGCAATTGGAAGTTAATCCAAGATTTAATTTTACCACCAACCTGGTGATTTACTCCATTGAAACAAAAGTCATAATTTTCAAGTCGATTTGGCTTCTAAGAAATGGTAAACTATCAAATGAAAATAATTTGATGCTGAAAATAAAGTTAAATATTATCAACTTAACTTCACATTGATGGTGAAATTAAGTGCGATATAAAATTATGTTTGACTAAGCAACTAGTTTGATTCAGTAAATTTAAATAGCGGGTTAAGGTCAGTTTTGCAATTTAATTAGCTAACAAAAGTAAGTGTCGAATTATGCAAATCTTACAAATAAAGCAATCAAGATAAATCAGTTGCCTACGACTTACAAAACATTCATCAATTAAATCTTTAATGTTAACTTTTCCCACAAATACTTTCATATGAATTCGCCTAAATTGAAAACCGAGCGCCTAGAATTAATTAATTATCTAAAAAATGATGAATAAAGTAACAATTAACTGGCAATTTCATTATCATCAAAATTCATTAGATTATATTTAAATCTTTGATGTAAAAAACAACAAAACAAAGGTCAAATGGCCAACTTTAGGCAAACAAAATAAATAGGAAAAGCAAAATTGTCTTAAACTGATCATCTTAAATAAATTTCATTTGTTGTAATCATTCTTCACATTTCATTGTAGTGTATAATTGTGATTAGTAACCTGCTGATTAAAGCCTATAATTGATAAACTTACCTCCTTTAAATGCTCTCAATCGACGAGCTAAAGCATCACTTGAACCATAAATGAAATTGGCATCAATTGGCGATGATAATGTATTAATATGAGCTCGAGGTCCTGTTAAGAAAGATAATCAATGAAAATTAAGTCAATCACAATCATTAAATTGAAACATCTCTAGGGTCAAATCAATTCTATGTAAACACATAATAATTTACAATTTTAATCCGTAATATTGTAAACTGTATGAGGAAGTTAATTGTTGAGTAATCATGTGATCATGAAAGTAAATCAGTAAATTGTTTGGTAAATCAAGTCCAAACTCGTGACTACAATTGGCCCAAGCTAATCAACTTTTATCAACTTATTCAAAGTCTAACTGTGTACATTGTTTTAATCAACCGCAAACACAAAAGGCATGAATAAATAATGCATTTACATTGATTAGAGTTAACCCAAAATGCTAATTAATATCAAGTAAAAACGAGTTGATTATTTACCAAGAGCACAGTTTGGACGATGGCCAGCAACAGATCGTTTAAAGTCATGACAACGTTTTCCAAATGGACTGTACAATGGATCATCATCAGGAATTATTATTGGTGCACATAATGGATGGTCAGTTCCTCGTTCACGAAGCTCGCAACAATCAAATTCGAGATCATTTTCATCTGTAAATGGAATAAATGAGAACAAATTAAAATGTTGAACAAAATTTTTCGACTCTTGACCAAAATAAAAACTCCAATCAAACACTAATTACTTGTTCAACTAGGATTGATGTTTAATCAACCAATGAGTTTGGTCAAAAACTGGTTCCTTTCAATCATTTACAATTTATATCGGCGAAACTTTAGACTAAACAAATTTTTGATTTCAATAAATACGGAAGAAAATGATAATTAGTCAATTGAATCAATTATAACGTGAGTGGGCTTTGATTGTTACTATTAAAATGGTTACCCTGAGAAGCAGTTTTTTCAGAATATCGATGTTGGTCAGAAAAAGAAGTCATTTTAAGTTGTGTTATATTCACCAAATTACGATAATTTGATGTTCACTTAAATATATGTTAACTTGTATTGTTGACAAATCTCAAGTTTGCTGTTAACATCATTATTGTCCACAATCAACTCTCATGTTAACATGATAATTATAATTATAAATCATCAAAAGTTATGGTTAATGGTTATTTCAACAAGATAATTGCCATTAAAATTGCTGCCAACAAAATGGTTTAACAGTAATTTAATATTAAACATCATTTACATTGGGCAACAATTGATATTAACTGTCAATTGTGAAAACTCATTCGCATGCAAATTTAATTCTTTTTTCTGAATCATATCATTACTTCAATCAATCTTATTATTTGTAACTAAATTGAACCCAAAATCAACCTAATTTCATTTTAATGATGAACAGCTAAGAGCTAATAATAAAAGTGAATAGAATCAAATTTGGTCAATTAAATTGTAGCCAAAAATGAACATCAAAATGTCAACTGTAATAATCAAATTTGCTCAGTAAAAGTTAATTTCATCAAAAAGTAATTGATAGTTGCAATTAAACATTCATCATTATTCTGATTGATTGGTTGTTCATTAAACGAGTATTTTTACAAATTTTTGCCTTCTATTTGATGAGACAATTTTCAATGAAAGGCTCAATTGTGATCAAAGATTAGGTGAGTTCATGATATTGATTTGAATCTGTTTCACGATCAGATTTATCAATTACTTTAGTTTCATCAGCACGAAATGATCATTAAATATCAGAACGAACTTCAATGATAAACTTGAATATTAACTGTAAAAATTTAGATAATAATGTTTAAATTTACCATGAAATAGCAACAATTTTAAAATTCATTGTTGATTACAATCAGAACTATTTACTCAATTCATCTTAAAACAATGATATTAACATGATCAATCAAAAGAAACATTTTGATTAAATGATTGTTTTTACCGCAAAATGTTTAACTGAGTTTGTATTTTTAATTGCAAAATTGATTAATTGATTGTTGTTTTTATTGTTGTTTTAATTGATAACTGAATAATCTTGGGTTTGGTTGATAATTGAAATAACAACTAAGCCTAAAAGGGTAAACCAAAAGTAATTGAAAACCCAAAATGGTTAACACTGAACAATTAATCGATAGACATTTTACCTTTAATGTATCACTAAAGGGTCATAGTTTATTAATTTAGTAGGCGTTGGTAGTTAATAGTAAATTAAATCAACACAAAGATACAACTAATGAGAAACAATAAGCTGACCTCAATCAAATATGGTTAAAAATATTTTAATCAGGCTGACCCGACTAAAGATCATATTGTTTGAAGGTAACATAATTAATTGTTCATTGATTGAATGATTTAAGTGATAAGTGTTGATCATTAGTATATTGTTTCAACTAGGCTTTGATTGTGAGCTTTTGTATCTTTTAGCATTTTTTGCGTTTCTTTTTTGTTGATCGTTGATTTTGAGTTTAATGAATACAGAATCATAAATATCGATTGAGATGATAATCAAATTAGGATGATCTAGATGTTGATTAACTGTGTTTACTGTTGATCACAATTTTTAATTGTACCAAACCTTGTTTTATAGTGAAAATTGAAGGCTTTTTATCTTGTTTTTTGGTGTCAACATTAATTGGAGGATAAAATTCCGGTCAATATTAATTTTGATTATTATCATTATTATTTGGTATTCTGATTGCAATTCAGCCAAGCACTGAAATTCATTGTTTCTATATAATCATAATCAACATTCATAATTAACTGAGGAAGACTAATTGTTGTAAAGGTGTGTAAAGAGCGATTAAGCCTAAGAAAAATATTATCATAATTTGATTGTTACCTTGCTGAATAAAGCTAACCATTAAAGCTTTTCATTTTTTTGTTGTTACTCTTGTAAAATCAAAGTACAACAATTAGGATGGTAAATGTTAATTGTGTTCATCATTGTAACACTTATTGTTTTTCATTTTGTTTTCCTTGAATGGTCAACATTTTGATTATCACAAAAATCAACAAACCACTACAAAAACACCAATAATTAATGTTCACCAAAACAATGCCATTTCCATGTATTGAACAAAATCAAATTGTTCACAATCACAAAGTGTAGCAACAACGCACTTGATAAATAGATCGATAAACAGTTCAAGAAACAATTGAGTAAAATTCAAATCATGAGACAATCTTGATGTAATGATAGTTTCCTAATCAATGGTAAAAGACGGTGAAAATGGCAAATTATCAGTAAAACTTGAGCATATTTCAGGGTTGCCACATGGAAACTATTGAAATTAGCAATTAGACATTTGATAATTTAGTGTTAATTTAACTGAGTTGGCATAAATTAAACGGAAACAATGTTCAACGGTTCAATTCAGGTCATTCAGCATTGATTCATCGAAGCTTGTCTATTCATGGTCTAACCACAATCCTTTTGTTCATCTTTTCCTTATAACCTTTCAAGTATTATTCACCTTGTCACAATCATTCTTCATTAACATCTTCATCAACAACAAAAAATAATTGAATCAAGTGAATTAACAACAAAAATAAGGTAAAATTTTTCATTCAAAATAACAATCTAAATCTGTCTACTTTCAACTTTGCTTTCACCTACACAACAATTTGGGTGAGAAAAAAAAGGTTTAGATAAATGCATCATTTGAAATTGACTAACCAATATCATAAAACCTTAAGAAACAACCCTTTTCTACATTTAACCAATATTATTGATAGTCAACTGATTTCTGCCTTGCGAGACCAAAATAATCGCTTTAATAAACTGTCATCAATAACTCATCATCTTCCTGGTTTCAATGAAAATCAATCGTTTCATGTTCTCCTCCTGTCTTGAAATTTGAGATAAATATTTAGTTAGTTCATTATTGTAAATAGAGAGTGAAATTGGTGAGAAATTCATCAGATTTTGAAAATATCCGTTGACAATCTAGATCATTAGAGTACATGACGGTCACTTGTACTTTGAAATGATGGGATAGTGAACTAATCTTTAGTAGAATACAATCCTAATTACATTATAAACTTATCAGTTACCTGTAATACTTGCTTTTTGTGCGTTGATTTGCGATGTAATCGCGCTAAATCTTAATGATAGAGAAGTATAAATCAAAATCAACATTAAGCTTTAGGATTAAAAGATATGTTAAAAAGTTGAAAATCATTAACTAACACAATCTTCAACTAATAAGTGATCTTAATCGCGTTAATTATCACCTTTCAGTAACATTAATGTCAGTCAACAGTTGAGAAAGTGAAAAATCAGTTAATCAATCAGTTGTGAAATTTTGTAGTGGTCAAGAGTCATTGTGAAAAGTTGACTGTGAAACATTATGCCCTGGTCATGTTAATCTTACCTCTTGGAGGTGCTGCTAAAGTTAAATCATGATCAATAAATTGTCCCCAAGACATGATTAAAATAGTCAAATCAGAATCAGGTCTGTCAACATCACGATGAACAGTTGCAGTAACCATACGAGCACTTGGAAGTGGTGAACCATCAACAACGGAAACACGGTAACCATCAATACCTGTAATCAACAATAAAGATTTATTTTAATGAATTTGCTCTTCATGTAAGCTAATATGACCATAGTATTGATCAAATATTAAAATGAAAATGATAGATTAACAGTTACAAAATGGTTTTTGTGCGTAAAGTAGTGAAGAGAGACCTTCAAGTAAAGTAAATATTGGTCATTCCATTCTGAACCAGTTTTTTTTCAACATTTTTCATTGAAGTTACCAAATCAGCTTTTACTCTCACATTCCAGAAAACCCTTTTGTAATACTGTTATGATTAGAATATGATTATGCTCATATTATTATTTATTAATATTAATAAGTAATAATCAAATTTTGAAAAATCAACACAAACACACACACAAAAATTGACCTAATTGTGAATTATAATCTCTTTCCACCAATAAAAACACTACCATCGTCAATGGATTGGACAATCAAGCTAATCATTTGTCAAAAAGGTTTTCTTTCATTTTCTCATCATTACCATCATCACCATGATGATCATCATAACTCTTTAGTATTGATGAGGCTGAAGCACAAAAACGATTACATTTTTGCGTATATTTGCCTACCGTTTGAGTAAACTGGAGGAAGATATCGGACAAAAGGTGTAAATGTGACTCCCCAAGAAGGTGTTTTAAGGTTATTACAGTGTCCAGTAAAGGTTCGGTAGCGTTCAATTGTACATGGAATTGGTTTAACATGAGCTGGACATTCTTCCCAAAGTGTTGTTCGTGAAAGATCGATCAATGGTAAGCCATTAAGAATCTCATCAGGAGATAATTTGAATCTACAAAAAGAAACATAATCAAAAAAAGGATCAAAAAGATGCGAAAAGGTAAAGTAGAGATGAGAGTTGAAGACAGGTTAATTGAGAAAATTAAGACTAATTGATAAGGAATGTAAATTATAACTTACTGTGTAGCCAGAACTCTGGTAACTTCCAATGCGAGCTCAGCAGTTTGTGATATAATTGGTGGTAATGGTTCAAGCGAGTTGAGACCATTGGGTCTGATGTAATTACGTCGGTATTTGGCCTCCTGGATTGCAGTTTCAACATCTACATAACGAATACACAATTCTTCTTGTTTACCAGTTGGTACTGGAGTAAATTGAGCACTAAAAGTGAAAAAAATATCATTTCAATAAAGAGAAAAAAGAAAAATTAAAACCATGTTAAAGGATGATTAATGATATCAAAAAGGTTAATCTTGCCATTGTTTTGGCGCTACATTTTGTATTGTAATCCCATGTTGAAAATTTTACCCAATAACCATAGACTATTGAACTAATGATTATCCAATAAGATAATTTGGTGGGAATTTTGATTTAAAGTAACGGCTATCATTACATTTATTTAAATCATTTGAATGAAAAGAAAGTCTTATTATTGCTATTTATGCCATCATCAACAGAGTTTAAGGTCGATATCAATCAAAATTAATGATCAACATCAAATTTAAGTTTACATTTTTCCTTTTTTTCGTTAATCAATACAAATTTGATTTGAAGCAGTTTTAATCATTACATGAAAAAATGATTGTACTTTTGAGATGAAAGGTTGAAAAAATGGTGAATTTATTTAGCTGTTGACTTGCCTATTTAACCAATAATTAAGATTTCTCTATTGATATTTTAATTATTGACTGTTAGAAATGGTAATCAATTGTAAATCCTTACAATCTGTTTCTTTATTTGATTGATTTTCATAACATTTTTTTGTTTGCTGCTGTTTGATTCACAAAACTAAATTATAATCATGATATTCGGTAAGTTTGCCTGAAACTGGTCGAGATTTAATTGTAAATTAGTTTTACCAATCAAAAAATAAAAACAAAAGCAACATCATCAGTTATAATGATTAGAAATGAATTAGAAATGTTAACTGTAAATGTCTTGGTTGGGTTTTTGTCAGTGATACAAAAAGGAGTTAAACTAAATCAATCAATCAATCAATCGGAATTATTAATTTACCAGAATAACGGTGAAAAGGTAAATAAGAGTTGATATTAAAATTGAAAAATGAAAGATAGAAATGAAAATTTCTTAGGTAACTCGCAAATAATTGTACTCATTTAAATAAATTATATCAATTTAATGGTCATTTGAATTATATTATTGCTAAATAGTAATCAAGGAAAACTGTTGAACTTGAAAAGTTTAGATGATGCAATTTTGTGGATTCATTGGGTTTAATAACAATCAGACATAATCGATGACCATTTATTTACTTAATCATCTATTAACTGAATGAATTTGATTCAAAAATCGAGTTAGTACAGGCATAGTGGATAGTTAATCAATTCAATTGCTACTGGGAACATAGAAAGAGATGAAAATGGTTTATTGTTGAAAATGAATAAACTGATTGTAAGCTCAACTAATAATTATGATGGTGATGATGATATCGTTATTGTTGATGGACAGCAAAAAAAGATTACAATCAATGATAAAATATTTACCTTTAACAGTAGGTTAATGGTTCAAATGGATTGAAACAAAGGTAAGATTAGGTTAGATTTGGACATTGAAAGTGTAGCTGGTCAAGCTTTTAGATTGTTGAATTTGATTTAGAGGATTGAAAGTGGAGTCGGATTAACTTACGGTTGTTTAATGACACTTAGGAATCCGGCAAAAAGTGGACTTCGAGTTGATTCTGAAGGAAGATTAACAACGTAGGTTCGCTGTAAAATTAATGCACATTCAGAGGATTGAGTATAACTTGATGGAGCCAAAAGAACATTTGCTGAATTTTTTGGCGACTCAGCGGTTTCTACAGCAAACAGAGCTGAATTAGATCCCAATGTTGTTGATTGGTAGGATGGTGATGAAGGTGATAAAGGTGTAATAGCATTGGATTGATCACTGGTAATCACTGGTATTTGGCTGGTTAAAAGTGAAGGCACAAATGAGAAAAAGGTGAAAAGAAAACACAATGTTGATATCTTTGACCAACATGGCTTCGATCTCGTAGACATTTGATAAATAGATGAACCCATTTCGTTGTGTGATCAATTAATGAAACTTTTGATGAGAACGATGATGATGCTAAAAAGAGCAAAATTAACAGTCAAAAAAAGGTGTCTAAAAAAATGGATGAACCAGTTAAAACAGTAATCCACCAAATCTTTTCTTGTTTACCGTCGATTCCTATTCTATCCAATTGATCTTGGTGTTCCAATCAAATTGGTTATCCACTTTTTGCTTTCGCTTAATTGTTTTCCAGCAATCAACAGGTTATTTTGATATAAGTTGACTTGAGTAGAGAAGAATACAGTTAAGGAATAGAGAAAAAGAAGAAGAAAAACAAACACAAAGAAAATTAGTTGAGAAAAAGATATAATTTGAAAGACAATCTGTTAACCGTTGGTAACATTAAGGTGTTAAGCTTTCTGGTTAAAATGGTTAGTCATTAGATCAAAATATCAGACGATTAAATATTAACAGTTGAAAGATGTTAGGCTATTCATACTTGCAATGAACTAGTGATATAAGTTGAGTCACAATGTAAGATTACATGATCAGGGTAAGCACATTTAAAAATGTGCAGCTCCAAAAAACAGAAGTATCTCGTTGTTGGTTCAACAATTGAATGATTACATTTGAGTTTTGAATAACGGTTACATAAACAAGAAATGATGAAAATAATGAGCAAAATATATTATCATTAAATTGAACACTGCGTCAATTCAAAGGAATTCACAATTCTGATTTAAATGTTCTGATAAGCAGGCTATTCATTTGCCCACCCAATATTCAAGATTTTCCCTCCTCAAAACATTCACTCTTCATCTTTCGTGCTTACTTTCTTTCTTTTCTTCTTTTCTTCTTTTCCTCTTTCTTTCCTCACTTTCATATTTTAGTTCATTTTTAAGACACTTTTCACTTTTCTTTCTTGACTTACTTTTCCTATTTAAGATAACTTTTTCTCAATCAATTCCTTCTCTCCTGATTATCATCAACTAATTAATTTCTGTGTTTTAATTCACTATCAAACATTCTGCCAATTACATGGATCTATTAATTAGCCTAATTTTATGGCTTTAAAACTAAACAAGGTGAGTACCAGAACACACATTGTGCTTTTGAATGGACTTGATCCATATGCTTGATCCATATCCATCTGTAATGGAATTGGTGAGATTAATGAAGTAAAGAGCTACGAAACAATATTCTGGTGAAAACTGAAAAACCCGGTTTCAACCAAAAAAGTAATTCAAAATAGAGATTTCATTATCTTTCTTACTTGTTTTCAGTAGCTCTTTATGTTTCAACACTTCAACTTCCACCTCTCTTAAGATATTTACCCGCCATTTTCATGAATCTCTTTTAACCAGTGAAACACGTGGAAGTTGTGTTTATTTTTAAGCAAAGTATTGCGTAAATATTTGTGATTTTTAATGGTTTTAAACCTAATTTACCAATATTCACGGGTAAATTTCAACATCTTAACCACCAATAATCAAAACACCAATATTTTGTTGAACCATGATGGCCTAATCGGATGAACTCAACGCTTTATTGAAAACAAATGGTTATTTCTCTAACTGATGGTCTGCCTAGCCTGTGGTAGGTCATGAGTAGTGTCAATATAATGTCAATAGACAAGTTAAATTAGAACTATATTGCACTATTCCCGGCCTATCAATGGTGTAACATATAAAGAGTTTCGCTGAACATGGTTATTGGAAATACAGTGATATATCATTCAAAAAATGTTTTAATTTTTGAACAAAGAAAAAAATAATTTTTCAAACCTTTCATTTATCATAATCAAAGTATATTTTATAGGTACAAAAAAGGGTTATGGGACATTTTCCCCAATTCGTCAAATAAGCATGGTGGTTTTGCTGGTGTAAGTTAGTTAAATAAACTCACTTTTAAATAGGCTCATTTTTCTAATGATGATGGATTTAAATTTAAGGCTCGATTTCTCCTAAATACAGTTCTTTATCAATTGAACCAGATAAAACTGAAAGAAAAAAGATTTTCAAATTAAAAATAATGACATATATTTTAGGCTGCATTGATAAACTTACCTATCGGTTCAGAAGGGTGAAAAACAACCTCAGTAACTGCTCCATGATGTCCAGGAAGTTTATATAAAATTCTTCTGTAATGAGTATCCCAAATATATACATGTCGATCGGCTGATCCAGCGCTAACTTTAGTTCCGTCGGGAGACCAACTACATCTTAATAGATTCTTTTCTGCGTTATGTTGATGACCCTGTAGTGTTTTTGTACACCTTTCTTTAGAAGCAAAAGGTCTAATATCCCAAATGCATACTGAAAATAAATAAAATAAAGTTGGTATTAAAAACTTTCATAGACTGATAAACATAAAACTTACAAGTATTATCCATTGCATTAGATAAAACAAAAGATCCGTCAGGACTCAATGAAAGTCCGGTTATGCTATCAAAATGACCAACCATAGAATACAGAATTTCTCCTTTCCTCATGTCGTAAACTTTGACGAGATTATCAATCCCTCCGAAAATAACTTGATCTGAATTCTCATTGAAGGTAACCGCCAAATTTTGATATTTATCTTTGTAGGTTTGACTACATTTACGGTCTCTGAGATCCCAAATTTTTATGTTACAATCATCACCAGCACTTACAAGTAGTTGTGGACCTCTCCTAGAAGCATGACATGAGTTAACAATACTAGAGTGGCCTTTCATCTTTTTAACCCTAGTCATAGTCTTAGAGTCCCACATGATAATTGTTTTATCTGTGCTTGCGGTAAAAATATTGGTTCCATCAACAGAATATTGAACATCTAGTATGGCTCCCTTATGTGCTTGCAAAGCGGCTAAGTTTTCACACTCGCCAAACACATTCCAGAGATCTGTAGATAAAGAAAAAATTATCAATTTTAGTGATCATGTAAAAGTATATAAAGATTTCTTAAAATTGTTAACTGCTAATTATGTCAACCAACAAGAGAAAACTTTGAAGATTTGACAACTTACATAGTTGCCGATCATAGCCAGCTGATGCAATGACTCTTCCATCAGGATGAAATTTGCAAGAATAGACCTCTCCTTGATGTCCAGATAACTGCATGATGGGGGCAAATAAACTAGACGTCCTGGGTGGACCCTGTAAATATTGGTATCACATAGTTAATAATGAATTGATAGCGATATAATCAAGTAATTACCATTTCGACAACTGCTCTGCTTTTAGAGGGATCCACTGCTTGTACCAATTCATTACGACCCTTCTTGAGTGGCACAACAGCACCAACAGTAGTGAACTCATCTCCTGGACGTTTAGCCATGATTCTGTAAGTTTATTTATATTAAAATGAAACAAGATAACTGGACACAAGAAAAAGAACAATAGATTGATTAGTATAAAGATTTCGTGGTTTCACTAGTTTGGTTTGTATAACCAGTAACTTTGGTTACTGGTTGAAAAATACAAATCGATACTTTTGTCAATAGTATCGATACTAACTATTAACTTAAAAAACTTGAAGTTGAATAAAATTAACCAACAAAATCTTAATTTTTGTCCTCATCTACTGTTCAAATTAATTTGGAGTTCTTTAAAAATTTAATTTAATACAACACAAGAAAGCAAATTTAAAAATGTGAGTATTATATCATTCAGTCTCGATAAATGAATCATATTTGGAAATCTCCTTTTGAAGCTTTCTGGGCTTCAGTTTGATTATACTAATTAAATGTGAATCATTATTGTCAATAACTTTATGACTTAATCATTTTAGCAGATAATTATTATGTTAATAATTTACTGGAGATAGTAATGTTTGCAAAATCTAATTTAGCTTAATTCTGAGTGAAGAAAGTGTTGATTATTTTATTGTAATCTTGCCTTGACTGGAACAATTTACTCATCTCAATGTGACTCCACGTTGAATAAGAATGTAACCTTTTAACTATCAAAGGTATTGCATTCAAATGACTGGAGTAATATCAATTTATTAGATTGTCATCAGTCTAATATATCATATTAGTCAGAAGTTATTCAACTCCAGGATCCAATTGTATGAAGACACAATTCAAATTTCATTTCCATCTTTTGTTGATATTCACATTACGATATCGAATCACTTTGGTTATAAACATTACACTTCATTGATTTAACCCAATATTCAAAGCTAAAATCATCAAAATACAGATCTGTCTGAGGTTAAATCAAGTGAAAATACTTTCCATTAATATCATTGACATTCATAATTTTCACTATCAAAAATTCATTGGCATAAATTTTGTTTTATTACCTCTCATTAAGGTATTGAAGGTGAAAATGGTAATTAAAGCACAGAATTAAGATATCAAAAAGCGAAAATAGATTAAGCAAATTTCACAAATCAAGTTAGAGCAGAATCAATGATGTTGATTATCTGACTGAAAACAACTGGTAAAATTATAAAAACGGAGTTAATCGTACAATCAATTACATTCAGAGAAACATCAAGTCATAACAACAACAATTACCAAAGCATTTTATATTGATTTCTTATTTTCCCCAGGAAAGATGGTTCCATTGAACAGTTAAAAGTCTTAACTATTAACGTCTTTAATCATCCAACAATCACTTTTGTTTAACTTTGTGCCAATTGATCAAGAGCTTGTGTAGCAATTAGATAACCATGGATAATAACGATAAAACAGGTTAGACAATTTCACTCAACGTCAGAATCTATTGTGAAATTGGTCTCTGCATGATGGATGCCAATGGATTACCATCAATGTCTGACAATTAATATTTTGTTTCCTTAATTTTCTGATGTTATTCAGATTCAACTCAGGAACTAACGGAGTCAACACTTAAAAAGGATGAAACCAAATTTCAATCTTCCTTTGCATCATTACGGAGTAAACCCAATCCATTGGAATGGCAAGATGTTGAAGTCAAATTTGGTCGAAGACCTTTGAGACAACAGGACAGTACAATGGCTCGAGTAACTGATTCAGCTGAAAATTTTTGCCTTAAAAGTCCAATAGTTGTCTGGTTGTTGACCATATTTCCCAGTATAACCTGGATTCGGAACTATTCAATAAAAAACTATTTAATTCCTGATATAATTTCTGGCTTAACAGTCTCTGTTATTCATGTACCACAAGGAATGGCCTATGGTCTTTTAGCAGGAACCAATCCAGCAAATGGACTTTACGTTTCATTTTTCCCAGTCTTAATATACGCTCTAATGTCTCAAAGCAGACATGCATCATTAGGTATGTCTATTCAGATCATAGTCAACACAATGATAGTTAATGTCCTTTTAGTGTTAAATTGCGTTTATCAATGATTGAAATGGATGAAGAAAATAAGTGAGAAATCAATTGATTGATAGAATGCCAAATTGCTTCTTTTTTTGAGTGAATATGAGTGTTAACTTTCCCTTTATTTCCAAATATTGATCAGGTACAATGGCAGTAACCAGTATAATGACGAGTAATGTGCTTAATCATCTTGGTGCAGTACCACAAGCAGCTTTTAATTCAACCCAACTCGCATCGTTTGATCGACCGCCAACTATTGAAGAAGCCATTACAACCCTGTCATTTATTTGTGCCATTTTCATGCTTATCGGAGGTATATTTCAATTAGGAGTCCTCTCGCTGGTTTTATCGGAACAGATGTTAACAGCCTTTGCCTGTGGAGCGACCTTTCATATTGCTGTGGCCCAGTTGGAAAGTGTATTAGGTATAACAGTACCTAAACATTCAGGACCACTCAAAGTTATATTTGTGAGTAACCAGTTCATTCTTTTAAATCCATAAGACTATCCAATTTTTCATTTATTATCGTGTTTTCTTCATTTCTTTAGACTCTGTTTGATGTGTTGAAGAACATTCTCTCAACCAATCTGGCATGTTTGGTTATATCAATAATCACAACCGTCTTGATGGTGTCTGTTAAAGAGTTTTTTGATCCTTGGCTTAAGAAACGCGTCAAATCAAATATTCCTATTCCCATTGAATTATTTATTTTGATTATTGCCACTACAGCGTCTTGGGCGCTTGATTTAAACGTTAGATATGGTGTTCCAGTGATAGGAGTTATACCGTCTGGTTTACCAGAGATAAAACCTCCTCGACTTGATTTAGTTGTTGACATATTGCCTGATGCTGCTGCGATTGCTTTGGTTAGTTATACTGTGACACTAACTGCTGGCCTCTTGTTTGGTAAAAAGTACAAGTATATTGTTGATCCGTCACAAGAAATGTTGGCTCTTGGTGCAGCTAATTTGTTGGGTTCATTTACAGGTTGTTTTCCGGCTACCAGTGGAATCAGTAGAACTCTTTTAATTGATAAATCAGGAGTTAAAACACAATTAGCTGGAATTGTATCGTCAGTTGTGTTGCTCTTCATCATTCTTTATCTTGGTCATTTGTTTCACTCTTTACCCAAATGTGTTTTAGGATGCATTATTTTAGTTTGCCTTAAAAATATGCTAATGCAGTCAACAAACTTGGTCCGATTGTGGAAAATATCAAGACTCGAAGGTTTATCCTGGGCAATCACCTTCTTCTCAGTAATAGCAATTGATGTCGATTATGGTATAATCATTGGAATCTGTTCTTCACTTTTCTTCCTTCTCATCCAATTTATACTGTAAGTCTTCAGTTGAAAATCAAACTTTCAATATTAACTGGTATTATCTTTTTACAGGCCAAAGGCAACAATACGAGGTTTACTTCCATCCACTGAAATTTATGTTGATATAACTCAATTCACTAAGGCTCAGGAGATTCCAGGATTGAAAATATTCCGTTTCTCAAGTGCTCTTTTCTTCCTGAACTCAGTGAATTTCCGTGACTCCTTGTACCGTTTGTGTTTACAAAAAACCTACAGCCAATTGATGGACTTATTGGAGAAGAAAAAGTTGTTGAATCAAACGGTCAACACAATAATCATTGATTGTTCCACCATTGCTTTTGTTGATTCATCAGGTGTTGAAGCCATTTTGGATGCCATTAATACATTGAAAGAGCTTGGTATTCGTTGTCATCTCGCATCTTGTACAGCATCTCTTATGGCAATGTTTGAAAGAACCTCTTTCCGAGACAAATTACCAAAAGATTATTCGTCTATATTTCCTATGGTTCACGATGGTGTCATTTATTATTTACAACATGATTATCCAGAATCACATGATACAAACACAATACCATCTTCAATCAGATTTTGAATACCATCTGAAAGAAAAAAGTTTCAAAATAATCAAAAACATTCTGAAAAACCCATTGGTATTGTAAATAAAACAAACAAACTAAATAATTCAAATCAATAATGTAATCTGTAAAAAAATTATAATCCAAATTAACTTTGAACATTTAATATTCAACGTTTTTTATTTAAAGTGCAATTGATATCCCAAACGGTAATCTATCCAAGTTTTGCATAAAAATTATGGTCAATTGGTCAATCAGTTAGAAGGGTTTTATAAAAAAATGTTTGAACGAATGTTTGATCTTTGGGAAAGTTTTACCAAAAGGTTAATCAATTGACGCTACTCAACTTTACATGAGTCAATGACTAGTCTTATCTGATGGAACCTGGTCAATGATTCAATGGATAATTTTGAATCATAAGAAACTGTATTCTTTATGCTGACGCACTTCTGGGTATCCAACCTCAAAGACATTGATTTGTATATGAAAAGCCGACTTTAAACTCGAAAGTTAAAGTAAATTATGCAGTAAGTAAATCGTTTCAGATTTGTATTCAATTAACTCATTTCAATATTTTCTAATAAATTGAGTTTAGCATTTAGTTTATGAATTAGTATCACCTTTAATCGAGATGATTATGCATCAGTTTTTAAATACATTATGATTTTCATATTGAAATAAACAAGTCAACACCTAGATCCAGTGTAATATGGTATTAAATGATGTTTAGTGTGTCACAAATATTAAGTAACACGGTGTTAGTGAAAAGACATTTTTTCGTATGTTTGATTATTGCACCAATATAATTGTAAGTGTTTTCATCAATGATTGTTTTCAGTTTATATTAATTTAGAATTGCTGATGAAAATACTTTGTGTTTGCAGTTATCCAAAGTAGTACAAGATATAAATGACTTCAGTTAATTATGGATTAAATGGATTTAAATTATTGATGGAGTAGTAGTAGGTATGTGTTTGATTTTCAATTGATCTGGTTGGTTTGGTTATTAGTTATGTAAAATTGCGGTAAATGTCGTGTAAAAGATCATCAGCGGTAAAGTTTCCAATGGCTGGATTCTCAATGTAACTTTCGTGGGATGATTGGCCAAAATTTGTCAAAGGTTTGTGGTAAACTGATTCAATGTCTATTTGATTCAAGGCATCTTCACCTAAAATCAGATTCTTCATGGGAATCTAAATTGTCCTCAGGTAAAGTCATAGACCAATTTGTTGTTAAAGCAATTTCAACTGGAAATGAACGATGACTCTCAAAAAGTCGATGATACTCTAAGTGTAGATTAGACATTGTTGAATTGAGCCTTTGTAGTGCTGAAACAATATCCTGAACATGGCGGGAATCAAGTAATTCAAGTTTGATCAAAACATCAGATCTTAAAGCAGCAAATCTTTTCCTAGCTTCCTGGCGACATCTCAAGATTAAACGGTACTCGTAATTTCCCGTCTCTACTCGATAAAGTGGGATATTTATGTTTTGGCAATCGTATTCTTCGTCGTCCATCTCTTTGACTTTCAAACAATATGACTGTAAAGCAAAAAATAAAATTATATTACACAAAAAGTATCAATATTGATAGAGATATGAAAGGCTTAATTTAAAAATACAAACCAGATATTCCATTTTAACATCACCATACTTTTTAATCGTTAATCGCGTATCTGGCACAGCTTTATTAAGAAATGTGTTCAAATCCTCAACAAGCTACAGTAAAATTTAAATTTAAGATTAGTTAATGATAGAAATTTATTTAAATGGCGTTTCCTTTTCTGGTTCAATCACAGTTACCGATAGGAAAAGACCTTTACTATGTTTCAAAATGTAACAGAGTTAACCTGAACTCAGCTGTATTTGATATTCACTAGTCTTTACTTTTATAATTTTGTCAAACTATCCGATGCTTAACTTAAGACACAATCAAGCTATTTATATAATGATAACTAGATTCTATTCAGATTATAGTCAGGTTACTTGGTATTTCTGATTCAACACTGATTGGCTTACAGGTTTCATTTGGCGAATCATTGTTATACCCTGTTTCTCCAAAGATCGATGAACTTCACCAAATTGGATGAAAGCTTTACTCGATTCTGGGTTAATGTCTTTGACTCCAATCTCAGTGAATAAATCTCCAAAGGCTTCAAACAAAAAAAAGTACAGTTAAGATTCGGATATTTTGTGTTGAGCAAATAAATGTTAAATATTTGAATATGAGATGTTGAAACTAAAATATTCAAAATCTAGATCATACCTTTGTAAACATGACAAACTTCAAGGTGGGCTTTTAGAAGATCACGAGTTCTTTCAATTATACCTTTATACATAAGCTCCATAAGTTCGAGCTCTTCCAATTTCCTAATTAAACTATCTGTGAACAGAATGAAAATCATAATTAGCCATCAAAATAAACAGCATTACAATGGTAAAACTAAAATTTATCTTCGTAGGTAATTTTGATGGTTTTCTGGTAGTGATGAGATTAGAGCGACACTTACCATTACAAAGAATAGCTCGGCTTAATCCAAGTGCGTCAGCAGTGTCAGAACTCATTTTCTCGCAAATACGATGTTTCACTTTTTTAAGAATAATGTCCAAGCTTTTACCTTGTTTAGGGTCAGCATGCAGTTTATTGTAATTGAATGAAACGGGTCCAAGTGTGTCTTTGATCATTTGAGCCACCTCAATCTTTGATTTACCTTTAACATTGTGACCATTTATACCTACAATTTCATCTCCAGACTCCAAAGTACCGTCAAAAGCTACAGGTGTGTTATCAAAAACCTAGTCATCAGAGAAAAAAAAGTGATGCGATTTATAATTTAGTGAGTTAAATTTAAAAATCGGCGTGTTTAAAAGCTGGTGTGGTTTCATTACCTGAACAATGTAAATGCATGGACAATGAGGAGCTCCACCACCAATGCTAATCCCAATCATGTTCCGTGAATCTTTCTCTAATGTTACTGTTCCATTGGTTACCTTCATTCCCCTGTAAAAGAAACAAATATATTGGGGATTGAAATTTCCCAATAAAATTTTGTAATTGGTTAATTAACAAATTAAAATTAAACACTGAAAAATGAGTAAATCACTATTTTAATTTTAAACGGTAATGTAGATGTTGGTAAAGGAAACATGCAGGGAAATTCACAGGTTAGCTAGTGGAAAACACGATGGTGAGATTGATGACGAAAACCAGAAGTGAATCATTGCCAACAGTTAAAAAAGGAATTGTCTTGAAACTGAACATTTCAAGCTCAAATATAGATACGTTGAGAATGTGGTAGAAAATCCATAGATTAATAATTTAAATAAAATTAACAGTGACTTACCTTCTGTCTTCAATCATATTATCTAACCATATGTCATCATCAAAATCAGGGTCATGTTCGGGAAGAAGGTGATATTGAGTAAAACCAAAGGCACCGGAAGGTTCCCCAGCTAATCCACCCGACATTGTTATAAATTAATTATTTAATCCACTTAAGTGAATCGAGTGTCACTCGGTGTTAACAGTAATTCACACTGCTATGGATTAGCATAAGTGTTAAAATAAATTTGAAGAGTAACTTATTTTGCGGTTGAAGTAACGCTTCTGGTTTCTTGTCACATGATCCCTAGCTTTTATTAATTGTTTGATTAATTGTCTGGTGGCGCTGATTAAAGTCATCTACGGTTTTTGAATGAAAATATTCAAAGTAAAGACAAATTTTTTGTTATAATTTCGTTTAATGTCATGAAAAGCCATGTAAAAACATCGTCTGATGCCATTTCCTATCTCTTCTTTTGGCAGGACATCACGAAGATGTTTTAATATTTAGGGAATTGCAAAGATTAAGATATAAAGTGCGATTTAATTGCTAAAGAATAATATTATTAAGAAACTAACATGTGTTTGAATAGACTTGTTCAAAGCAAATACATTGAGTTTGATTGTACAGTAATGTTTCAAACAGCATGCATAGTTATGGATGAAACAATGTGATTCCAATTATTTACACCTATTGAAATCATGTTTGAAATTGACATCAAAATAATGAAATTAACTGTAGCCAGATAAACGAGGTTAGGACATTACCTCGATATAAACAACATTATTATAAAACAGCAAAAATCTAATAACAGCTTTTTGAATGTACAATTACTATGTATTACAAAGTATCAATGAATGATTTATCAGTAAGTTTGAAATTGCAGCTAAACTGTGATAATATTTACAAGCAGACAATATTTTCATGGATAATTTTCAGTCTGGTAGGTTAAGAATATTACAAAATTTATGAATACAGTGGTGAAAATATATTGAATGGCATTGGAATAACTAATAAAAATAAATCAAGGTAATGACCGTTCAACCTTAATATGAATAACCTAGAAATTTGTCGATGACTTACAACTTAGGTTATATCATTACAGACCGGTAAATATTGTATAAAAACAAAATCAAGTTTATTGATTGTCAGTTTTCCTATCACAACTCCAAAGGATTGATTCTACCATGAATCAGTTTTTGTTAATTGTGGCTTTGATAAACTTCCAATACCACTTGTATGATTGTATCAAGCTTAAATTTTCCTCTTGTGGTAAGTATTCCTATTTTGTATCTTTGTTGGTTATTTTAATTCATTGATTGTATTTTCTTCTCTACTTCTTCCATTGGTCCTTTCTTGGTCAGATCTTCAAGGTGGTAAAACACATGAGTTACGAATTGATGGGTGTAAAGACAATGTTGACCCTTGCGTTTTAGTTCGTGGTAAAACGGCTCATATTGAAGTTGATTTTGTTGCTCCATTTGATTCAAACTATGTTTACGCCGATGTTAGTAGACAATCATCAACTCTACCAATATCTTTACCGCTGCCCTTTCTAGATCGAGATGCCTGCAACAACCATGGATTAAACTGTCCTCTCAAGAAAGGCCAAAATTACACATATATTTACGACTTTTACGTGGACCCTTTGTTACCATCAGTTAAAGGTGTTTATCATTTTACTTTAACAACCTTCTGGGGGTACAGTATTGGCTGCATAAGTGTACCATTGGAGGTGAGCGGAGGGTTCAGTATCTTTGGGAATAGGCTGGCCATAGATTAGTCGACTGTCATGACTTTCCGGTTTTTGACTTGTTTTAATCATCTAACTGGTCCTCTTATTAAATCCACTGTAAATAGCTTCCATGTTAATTGATACAAAATTGTAATTATCTAAAATGTAATTCACGATTAAGGAATAAATGAGTAAGATATAAAAACACGATTAAAAAGAGTAACCTTTAAATGTAAACAAAAAAACATGTTATCAATGAGATTTTTGCCAGATAGATGTTGCCATAGAATCAATGAACCACGTAATTCAAATTTTTCATTTTGATTAATTAAAGTAAAAAATTATATTAACTGCTATACTCAGAGAAAATTCAATTGCTGAAATAAATATTATTTAATTCTTTACGAGTAGCACGGCGGAACTTTACATTGATCTGATTGCAATATTTCATAAATTATTTTGTTATGATTCTAATTTTCTGGAAACAATCATGGATCATCGCTAATTTTTGGATCAATTTATAACATTTAATCATCTTTTACCTAATTTGACATCTAATCTAATGATCAAATAATTATTTTTGAACGACTGTACATGTGATTGAGTTGCGACAGATTTTTAACCATCTGACATTAGGTTTCTATTTTTTACTATAATTTGATCATTCATATGTGTCAATGCGAAGCCAGTTTCATCAATGAATCATAATTAACAGATTTCCAGTTTAATCCTGTACATTAATTAACCTAGCATTACCTAATTTATCTCATATAGCTTTCTGGTTAACAAAAATTGTTCTGGCTCTGCAACTCTCCTTCTCTCTACCTTTATCTCTGTGTCTCTGCCTGTATATTGTAGACTTATTTTCGTTGGTCTGTATCAACAACAGCTATACACAAAGCTATCATCATCAAAACTGCTAGTTTATTCTTTAATGTGAATTATCAAATTAAATTAATCTTTTTATTATCATGATCAGTTAACAGTTGTCACCCTTGGTTGAGATTCCATAGAATTGTGATTAAAGAGTCTCAGATATTACTTTCTTTTTTAGGTGAAAAGCTACCAACATTGTAAACATTTGTTCCATATTGTTTCAATACATTTATTTTTCTCCAGCAACATTTATTTCTTTCAGATATTCAACTGTTATTCTGACACTTAATCTACTTTTTCAATCACTAATAGACATAGCTAATTCTGTCTTTAGTGATAATGATTTAAATTCATCCATTCACAGCTAACTGGTCTTCTTTAAGTTCATCACTCGGTTGTATTACTCTTGCAGAGTAACCCTGCTCTTTGTTTGGTTCATGTGATTGGGTTTACCAGTTGTTGTGTTTATTGTTGATGTTAACCATGTCTTCTAAATCACTGGATGATTCATTTGATGAATCGCTATTTGCTTCAGAAATAGTGTTGGAGAGAAAACAATCTCGAAAGGAATCTTCAAGCTATTATGTGTAAGTGCCATTTTTCGCTATCCTGTTCACTTCTGATCTCTTCTTCCAATCATCTTTCTATACAGAGACGAGTATATCAAAACATTCAAACAAGATAATTTCCTGACCAAGTTGAAGAGACGAGCTATCAAAGGTGAATTGAGGAGTTGTCGCTTTCGAAGCATTGCTTGGAGGGTTTGTACCATTATTTTTCCGTTGTTAGTTTCTCTAGACTAAAATTAATTGGTGCTTTTTCTTCTTCTAGATTTATCTTGACTGTTTGCCTGATAGATCTGAAGAATGGGTAACAACAACACGGACGTTCAGAGAAGAGTACCAGGCTATTCGTAATAAATATGACACAAATCCATACCGTAATAATAACCACAATTTCGAGGAGAACAATCCTCTTTCTCAACAAGAATCGGTAAACTTCTGATCAGCTGATCTTGCATTATCTTTTACTGACTGGCTTAGTTTCTTTTCTATCCACCCAGTAAACTTGAAAATGCACCAACCTCTATATATTATGATCTTTCTCTATTGACAACTATAAATTTCATATGTTTCTCTTACACAGAGTGTTTGGAATAAGTATTTCCAAGATAACGAGTTGAAAAATACTATAACACAGGATGTTGTCCGAACATTTCCTGAGATTGATTTTTTCCAAAGCTCAGTAATGCAAGAAATGATGTGCAATATTTTATTTCACTTTGCTCGGGAAAATCCTAAGATCACTTACAAGCAGGTACGATTTTCGTCACTACATTTTATAATATTTTGGTATATTCCATGCATACTTTAAATTCAATTTTCGTGAATTTTGCCTAACTTGAGCCAAGCTCTCAAGATAATTTTATGTTTATCATACTTGTCTAATCACCATTATCATAGAGTACTAATGATTTTTTTCGCTGAATCTTTTCTCGTTTTCCCAGGGAATGCATGAGCTTTTGGCCCCCATCCTTTTCGTGGTAAACTCAGACCAGCAAGCCTTATTACATGCAAAAGAATTGCACCTTTTAGAGTAAGCTATTTCTAGTTTGATTTTTTTATTGCATTCAAAATCTCCTATTCATTTTATTTTTCTATTTTTTAGGAGTGCTGATGAATCTACCCGGTAAGCGATAATAGTTGTGACAATAATAATCATTATCGTGATATTGTTTTCATTTATGGTATCCAATTTATTATTTCTTTACAGAAATGAAATCGAAGAGCTTCTCAATCAAGAATATCTCGAACACGATACTTATATCATGTTCCGACAAGTTATGGAAACGGTTGAACCTTGGTATAGTCATGAAATGATTTCATTCAAAATGGATTCCATCAACTTTGAGCCATTCTCAACATCCTTAGAGCCTAGCTCGTGTTCCGTCTTAGGAATCAAACTGAGATTGATTTATGAAAAAATTTTGAAAAGAGTTGATTCTGAATTATTTTTCCATCTCTTCAACATGCAAATCGAACCGCAAATATTCGGAATGTAAGTAAATTAAATCAAGATAGTTATTTCATCAAAAGGAAAATAATAAAAAATCGATTAAAATAACTAATTTCTTTCATTTCAGTCGATGGTTAAGACTACTTTTTGGCCGTGAATTTTCTCTGCAAGATCTTCTAGTCATCTGGGATGCCATTTTCTCGGATGGAATTTCCTTTTCCTTATGCGATTACATATTTACCGCTATGTTAATAGTTATTCGCGATTTACTTCTTTCCAGTAATTACTCTCAGTGTATGAATCATTTAATGAGATATCCAAGTGTACCTGATACTCAATATATTCTTGATTTAGCTCTTCATTTAAGGGATCCTATTGTAAGTTAATTTTAACAATTTCAACTTGTAAAAATTCAATCCGACCATAACTAATTGACTTTTTATTTTTCCTCTCAAAGAACCACCCTGAGCCTCATGGGTACACGGTCGGGGTCCATCCTATCGAAGTGACACCAAGTCCTATCCATGTCATTCTTCCTGACGTAATTGAACAAAAACCAGTTCCTTCAACGAGCTCATCATCTCGAGAAATATCTGAACGAAATACCGATTCAGCTAAAACACCTAACCGCCCTAAAACACTGCCTATATTACAAGTTAACACTTCTAAAAATCAAGTTACAAATCAACAGAAAAGTAGTATCAGTGAAAAACCACAATCTGGACAATCACATGCACACCAGCTTCAACCAGTATCGCAGCGACAATCCCAAAATGGATCATCCTCTCCCACAAAAGTAGTGGATCATCCGCTTGCACATCCTTTGTCTTCTGATGATGGACCCTCTTCTGGTTATTCACCACAACTAACTCCCAGTTTTCCTTCTGTTTTGTTCAAGAAAAAAACTCAAGAAATGAAATCATTCAACAAACCAACAAATCTCAATGGAAAAGAGCTAGACTATTGTTGTGAACTGTTAACCAACCAAATCGATATTTTGCAGAAAACTTTAGCTGAAGAAGAGCTCAAAAATAATGATGTTATCTTTCTCGCCGTGGCTAAACTTAAAATCGCAAGAGACCTTCTTAAAGGTACCTTAAAATTGAACGAGATTGATTAGATAGTTTTTGATAATTTTGTTATGAATAAGCTGCTAGTTTGAATTGCTTTTGAAGACATTCAAACAGTTTTTTTGTAAATTGTGGAAACAGGAAAATGATTTTCTCAATCACCATATTTTCATTACTTTTGCATCTGACAGTATTTGTTGACAATTTTGGGGTAAAAGAAAATAGCAGAAAATAAATGCTATGCATATTTGTACTTTTATTCGCAACCTTTGTGTTTTTACATAGTTAAAACTCTCAATTCTTGTCAACAAAAAATTGATATAATTTAAGGCACTCGTAATAAACTTTGATATATTCACAAAACAGAAATACAAATTATAACAAAATTTAGATAAAATATTGACAGTAAATTCAGGTTAAATACAGGACCCGTTGAAGTTTTGAGAAACTTCTAAAAAAATTAATACTTGAGATAGATATGGCGTTATTGACGATCAAACATTTAAAGTGATGGCATTATTATAGTTACTTACAAGGGAAGGTGCCTAAGTGGTACGGTTGGATTCGGGAAATTTTATGATAAATCGATAGAAATGTGTGAAAAAACATGTCTG